ATGGCAACAGTATTCCATACAAGACCGGATTTGAGATTTATAGAGATAGAATCCAGAGTAAGAAAGTGACGAGCTCGATAAAGAGAAGCAACTTTAGCAGATCCTAATTTTGCAACGGATTTGATATAAGGTTTCCAAAAAAGATCAGAAGTAAGAGTTAATCCTAGAAGATGAAGGGTAGGAGACTCATCAAGTACATTACCGTTCATAAATATAGGAAGGTCTAAATTATTGCGATAACGATTGGCCGAAAAAAATTGAGTTTTATCTGAATTAAAGTTCACCAGCCACTGTGAGCCCCATGCTGTAGCAGAAGTGAGATCCTTTTCACGCTCAGATGCCCCCTGCAAGCAATCAGAGGGAGTTGGCTTTTTATTGTGACAAGAATAAATGGTAGTATCATCAGCGAACAATGCCACCTTAGATGTGAGAATATCTGGAAGATCGTTAATGTAAATTAAAAAGAGCATAGGGCCAAGGATTAAACCTTGGGGAACCCCTGAGGTTACAGAATAAGAAGAAAAGTGCTGTCCATCAAGGACAACTTTTATACTACGATTGGAAAGAAAGGATTCAATAATCTTAAAGATGTTTCCAGATACACAGTAAAAAGAAAGCTTATCGAGGAGACCAGCATGCCAAACTTTATCAAACGCTTTAGAAATGTCAAGAGCAATGGCCTTAACCTCTCCACCTTTATCTAATGCACGATAAAACTTATCGGTTATTACTGATAGCAAATCAGCAGTAGAACGAGAAAATTGAAATCCATATTGATGATTAGAAAGTAGGTTCGAGATGAGAGATTCGAGATGAGAGATTAAGTGTTTGTTAACTAAAGTTTCAAAAACCTTGCTTATGATAGGAAGAAGACTAATGGAACGGTAGTTAGACGAATCAGATCGCTCTCCAAAATTTTTAAAAATAGGGATAACAGATGCTGCTTTCCAGCAGGCTGGAAAATAAGACTCTGATAAGCACTTGTTAAATAGTTTTGAAAGGATAGATGACAGCTCCGGAGAACACTTCTGCAAGACTATAACAGGTATGTTGTCCGGGAAATCACTTTAGATACAGAAGTTGGAGTGATACAAATGTCGAGCAATGGATCAACCTGTTTGACGGCTATATCAGGCAGAACGCAACTAGTGGCATCAAGAGATGATATTGATGAAAAGTTCTTGGCAAACAATTCAGCTTTGTCTTTTGGTAAAGTGACAAAATTTGAACCATACAAAAGAGGTGGAATTACAGACTTGCCCTTATTATTGATACTATTAAAGATTCTCCAGAAGTCACGAGAGTCTAATTTTTGTGATGAAATACGAGATTTTATGATCTGAGAATAGCGGGCTTTGGCGTTAGACAAAACCTTTTTACAATGGTTCTTAGCAGAAATAAACAGACCTCTGTTTTCTGGAGAATTGTTTTGCTGATAGATATGGAAGTAATGGTTTCGATTGGCAATTGCAGCAGCAAAAAGTGAGGAAAACCATGGAGAAGAGTGAGGCTTGACCTGGAATTGTCGAGAGGGAATAAAAGATTCCATGCCAGCCTGAATCCACGAAGTTATGTAAGAAGCACATTTGTTAACAGGGGGACGAAAAATTTCTTCCCAGGGGCCATCACGAAGAAAATCACGGAAAGAGTCCCAGTCAACTTTAAGGTAGTTGTAAGATGTACGATGATAGGGGGATTCTGATGGTAAATAAGAATGAGATAGTAGTTTTAGAGAGACAAAACCATGATCAGAAGCACCTAAGGGTGAGTGTAAAGAAACTGAGCACTGACTAGGATCAGAAACAAGACATAAGTCGAGTCGAGAAGGTAAATGATTCGGGTTGTCTGGAAAGCGAGTTGGAAAGTTGACTATTTGAGTTAGGCATTGAGAAAAACAAAAGTTGTGGGCGTAAATGCCTGCAGAGTCACTGATACTAGAGCCAAGCCATTCAGTGTGATAAACATTAAAGTCACCGACAACAACAATATTGGCTGATGGATAAAGAATGAGGGCTTGGTTAATATAATCAGAAATAACATCAAGAAGAGTGCAGTCTTGAGATGAGGGAGAGCAATATAGAACAAAGAGAAAGGTGATAGAGTGAAGTGGTGCTAAACGAAAGCACATAAAAGAGTAGTCTGTGGATTCAAACCTAGTTTTCCGACAAATGGGTGAATTCTTACGAATGTAAATGCCCAGGCCAAGCATGTGACTATTGGAGTCTTTACGATTTAAAGGAAGATAACCATCAACACTAAGATCACAAGATGAGACAGCTGAACTCAAACTAGTCTCACAAAGAGCAAGTAGGTCTGGTGAACTTTGCAAGAGATAAGACTCAACAGAAGAAAAGTTACTTCGAAGACCACGAATATTGGTGAATGATAGGTTTAGCGAATTTGGTGATGACTGTGGTTTTTTGTGTTTTATAGTTTTTGTTGCTTTATTTATTTTTAAATTTGTTAAAGAACTTGACCCGAAACATAGATAGTACTCAGTACACTGTTTTATAACTCAAGCAATTGCCTCATTTCCACTAATAAACCCTAAGCCGTAACAAAGGGCTCCAATGTGGCCTTGGCAATGCACACCAAAAGTACAAACAGGGACACCATCCATGCGCAACATGGCACTGTTAGTACTCTGATATTTTTCAGCTGTTGATGGAATCAGCTTCTCTGAGAGCTACCACAGAGTTCGGGAAACCTGACTACCAGCCGGCCTCAGAACCATAAAACTGAGTTTTAGAGCTGTACTCTCATTTGGAGATAATAGAATGAGTTGTCTAGTCATAAAAACAGAGACACAAGCATAACCCATGAATCGAGTCAAGAAGATCCAGCGTTCAACATCCTAAACTAGAAACAATGTATTAAAAATACATCTGCGCCAGCCTAATAGATGAAGAAGGGGTGCGAGGCTGGTCAACAGATAGAATCTGTTTGCCCCTTAAGTCTTTGCCTAGGAGACTTTCTATAAGACAGCAACCGGATGCATGTAACATCTGCCCAAGATGAGTATTTTTATTGAGACACCATCTCTAGCCCTTAATCAATCAAGAGCCCCAAGGCAAGGGGTGTTTTTTGTCGGAGTTTGCATCTCCTAGCCTTTGCCTAAAAAGGCATATTCTACAAGGCAGCAGGACATGAAGCAGATGGTACTGGGTTACATGTTACCAGTAGCAGGATAAACCTGACCTGACATATGTTAATTAAAACGTTCATATGTTAATTAAACATATGTTAATTAAAACCTGACATATGTTAATTAAAACCCGACATTTTAAAACAAATTAAACCCGACATATGTTAATTAAACAAATTAAACCCGACAAATTAAACCCGACAAATCAAACCCGACATATGTTAATTAAAACTTGACCTGACCTAAGTTAATTAAAACGTTCATGTTATTGTTTTTACTTTATTTATTTTATTTAGAATTTGAATAAAACCTTCATTCTATTTTTATTTTTGTTGTTTTGTTTACTATTTAAGTAAAAGATTCATATTTAGAACTTCATTAAAACATTTAGTTGATGTTTTTTTTTTAATTTTTCTATTTAGAATTTAAATAAAACATTCTATAATTGGCTTTTATTTTATTTCATTTATTTAGAATTTAAATATTTTCTGTAACCTGCTTTTGTTTATTTATTTTATTTAGAATTCAAATAAAACTTTCATTTTGCTGTTGAGTTTTTTAAAATACTTTGTTACAATTTAAATCAAAAGTTTGTTTTTTATTTTAACTATTTAAATAAAAATTTTAACAAAATATTTTTTATTCTGTTTTGATTTTAATTATTTTATTTAGAGTTTGAATAAAATGTTCATTTTGCTGTTTTTATCCTTTTTGGATTAGCAAATAAAATTAAGTTTTAAAACTCTGAGGTGGGCAAAAAAATGCCGACGTCAGACACTGTCAGAATAGCAGTTAGGTTGGCATTGAATTTATGATATAAGTATACACAAGTACAGAGTAAAATTAGATTAAGGCATGTGATAAATTTTGTTTTTTCCTAAAATTATGTGAAATGTATAAACTTCAATAATATTACTCATTTTTGTTCATAAAAACTTCTCTTGCATCTTTCTAAACTAGTTTATTGTTTATTTACTATAAAAATACTTTTTTTCAGAAACACTTTGGAGTTAAAATAATAAATTAGTTTAAATAATAATCCCTTTTGTTTAATTTCTTCAGTTTTTGAGCTCTTTGAATATAATTATCAGTTTACCTAACAAGTCAGGTATATGTGAAGTCTCGCCTAATAAAAGCAGCTCAATAAAAATTTTAGCTATAAAATTTTTGGTAAGTTTCAACATTTTTTTTCATTTTTGTTTCACTACTGCGGAACAATTAAGTTTTATATTGAATTTATCAATGTTGGTTTACGTCACTAAGATCTATTTTATAACTCTAATAAAATGTTTAGGAGAATAAAAGCTATAAGAAAAAGTTATAGGAGATAAAAGTTTTTTAAATGTTTTTGCAACTAGCTCCGGTCTTCCCTACGCCTATCTATCAGTCAACATGAAATATACACCTTTTAAAAAAAAAACACCTAAATGTGTTGCTTTTATATAATTAAAAGTAAATAAGATTGTTCTTTTTAAAACTTTTTAAGCTTTTTAAAACTTTTTAAAACTTTTTAAGCTTGTTGTTTACATAATGGTAACTTTTTAAGCTAGCTGTTTATATAATGGTAACTTTTTAAGCTAGCTGTTTACATAATGGTAACTTTTTAAGCTAGCTGTTTACATAATGGTAACTTTTTAAGCTAGCTATTTACATAATGGTAACATTTTAAGCTAGCTGTTTACATAATGGTAACTTTTTAAGCTAGCTGTTTACATTATGGTAACTTTTTAAGCTAGCTGTTTACATAATGGTAACTTTTTAAATTAGCTGTTTACATAAGCAAACTTAACTTACATTACTAACTTTTAAAAATTTAACAAAATATCAAAGTAATATATTGATAAATCAACAAAAATTTGACAAAAATTTTTATTTTATCTAATAAATAAAAATTTTAATTTACTATCATATTAGGCTAATATTAACTATATTGTTATTAAATTGTGATGCAGTTGAAAGGAGATTGGCAAGAGTTATTTAAATGCAACAACAGTATTTTTAAAGTGTCTTTCTTTTTTTTTAACCTTTAACAATACCGTATATGGCAAATGAAGCTCCTGCAAAACCAAAAACAAAAGAAACTATTATTAACATCCAATGAAATATTTTACTAAAAAGTGAAAGGTGTCTTCTGCGTATCTTTAGGTAAAAATATACAGGCAATATAACAGTTATAAAGGTGCCGCGAACATTTCCAACAAAACTAGTTACCATTTCAAAGTTAGGAACGCAAACAGTGATCAAAAGTACAAACCCTGTTGTCGATACTCTTGATATGAAAATCCAAAGTTTCCTTTTATTGGTACTTTTGTTAAAGTATGGTAATTTTGGAAGTAGAAAGTTGTCTGCCATATCAAAAACAACAAAAACAGAAGTTGGGTACATTAAATACATACTTACAGCAATTAATGTAGGGATAGTCAGAGCAAACGCCGATCCTTCAAAATTGCTCAACACGGATCCTTGCGTTAAAATTCCAAAACTTAAGGCACCAACACTAGAAAATATAACCTTTATAATAGTACAAACTCCATAAGATGCGCAAGTTAATACTTTATATTTTTCTGGATGAATCATTGTTGCTTCCATAACTGGGACTGCAAGGTGGAGATTGTACGAGTTAATTATGATTCCATACCCAATAAAAAAATGATTTATTGAAAAAGTTGGGTTCATGTGTTGATAAGTCCATTCTTGCCATTTTGTTACCATAAGCACAAATGCTAAAATAGTGCCAACAACAAAAAATCCTAAAGAGAAAAAACCAAACCATGCTAAAATTGACATGCGTGGAATAAAAAAGAGGGGAAATGCAGCGCAAATCCATAAAACTGCCCAGATTCGTTTATCAAAGTGCACAACGTTTCGTAGTAAATCAACCGTTATTTGAGAACAAAAAATTAATATATAAATATCTGTCATCACATTGCTTGCAACAAAAAATTTCATAATGGTTTCTCCATGCCATGAAATACAATCGCTACCCATATCGACATAGCTTTGGTACACTCTTTTTTTAACACCATCTTTAGAAACTTGATATTGACATTCGTTTATTAACATGCAGGTGTAACACATGAGCGCACCAATCACCGCAATCATTACGAGAGCGGTAACTCCGTAGTGCGCCGCTAAAAATGGCAAAGCATACACCGACAAACTTGTAATCATACTTTGGCTAGAAAAGAAAAATATAATATTTGAAATGCGTCTGTCATCAGAAGGAATGTGAGCTAATGATACAGTTTTTGACGCTCCGAAATCCTTTTGACCAATTCTCGCTACTGTTGCACTATCAAAGCCAAGTATGCCGCTTTGTGTTAAAACATGGCTTGATTGAAAAAAAGATGCATTCGCGTCAAACTTTGCTTTTTGGTCTCTTTTGCCGGAGAGCAGTACAGATTTTTCGTTTACTTGACTGTTCGCACAAAAACTTACACTTTTTGGTTTGTAATAATCGTATGAACTTTGAAAATTTACGCTAAAGTTATCAACATTTTCCGAAATTTCAAACCGATTGCTCTCATCTAAATAGAATTTTTATAAGAAAATAATTTTGTTAAAAAAAAAGTTTATAATTAAATGTATAAAAAACAAATAAAATGAGTTATTTTGTAAATATGAAAGCTTGTATTTAACTAAAGGTCTTTAAAGCGCTTTAGTTTAATAAATAGTAGTTTGAAATAATTAAAAAATACTAAACGCCTTTAAGATACTAAATTTTCAGAATAGTATAAAACATACTAAAAATATATAAAAAGAGAAAAAAAAATATCTGCAAATAAAATGATATTAGCAAAACGGCTTTAAAAACAGTAAGCATAGTTCAAAAAAACTTACTTGATTCAGCCTCCATTTTTATTTATTATTCTGGTTAAAAAACGGTGCACCAACCTTTGTCAATAATTTAATGTGTTAACATTTGTTAACAACTCGAGTATAAACATTATCTACATAATAGTTGGTGACAGTTTAAATCAATTGAACTGTTAATTATAGATTATTTTTGAGCCGTTTTTGCAGATTAGTAAGCAAAAAACAACAACATATTGTTGACATTTGCTATTATAAAAACTAAAAAAAAAACAAATATCCTAATTAAGTTGTTATTCATAGAGTGACGACGTTGTTAGAAATTCTTTAAACAGTGATACTCTCGTATTACACTGTTATCAGTGTATTGATATGGTTATTTGTTTCTATAAAAATTAGAATAAAAGTATTAGACATTCCTATGTATAACTGAACCACCAGAGCTCCACTAGTCTAGATCACACTTTCTTCAATAAACTGATAAATCACTACAGCTTATTCAAATATATTTATTTTGAATTATTACATTATTATTTTCAGTTATACAAATATTACAAATGAAAAATGTTTATCCAAAGCCGCTTCCAAAGTTTTTATAACATATGAGTGTTTTCAAGATTTGTTTACAATATATCTGAATTTCTCCTCAAGTTAGTTTTTAGTTACAAGTACCTTGTCCAATTTATTTTATGATATAATGGTTAATGATATAATGCCAGCAACTAAAAATTAAGCTGGAACTTACTTTATACTTTAAATATTTATTATAATTATACTTTATATTCCGTTAAAGCAAGGAGGTACAATAGACTAATATACCTTATAATATTGTATTATAACTTCTTAGTCAAAGTTGATGTTCATATTTAATACAGCATCCGATTTCCCTTTATAAATGAACTTTTATGTTCATAAATGATTAAATTTATCAAATATAATTTGAAATAATAATAAATCTTTGGTGAAAAAAAAGTAATAACTAAAAAGAATACATTTTGTATAAAAAAGAACGGCATGTTATGCGTACCACCCTACTAAACAGTTTTTAGTCAGTTTTTTGTCATTTTGATGGTTTTGAATCAAAAATTTATTCATAACATTGCTTTATATGACAAATGAATTTATTTAATCGCTTGTATACCATTTTGTATTTATCCGCTTGTATTACTGTTTGTATATTTGTTTGTAAACTATACACCAAAAAAATCTGCTTTATTTAGTCACTGAGATTTTCAAAGTAAAATTACAAATTGCGCCTATATCTATGAGTGAAGTTTTTAAGTTTCTCGAATCAAATCTGAGATATGAAAAGCCAAACTTTATCAATATTCGTACAACAAAATATAAATTGGAATTCTATCTTATCTAGGACCAAAAATTTGGAAACTAATCCCGAATGGTTATAAAACATCTCCATTTTCAAAGGAATTTGAATTAACAAACTAAAAATAAAAAACTGAATTACCAATGCTCATGCAAATTATGCACGGTTTTTATCAAATCGGATACATTAATAAACTAAAGTAAAATGAAATATTTTTGTTAGTTTTTGCCACTCTAATTGGTTTTTTATTATTGTTATTATTATTATTATTATTTGCTATTATTATTGCTATTATTATTATTATTATTTTTAATGTATTTATCGGTTATTTTACAATTTATATTTATGACTATATTTATTTTTGAAGGATAAGTGTAGTTGATTTAAATTAGCCAGTTATAGAGTTATCAATGTAACAACCATATGTGTCAACTATAAATAAATTACAAATATATATATATATATATATATATATATATATATATATATATATATATATATATATATATATATATATATATATATATATATATATATATATATATATATATATATATAGAACAAATACACATATAAAAAACGCATATATATAAAGAAACAAATATATATACAAACTATTAATAGAAAGAAATTTTATTGTTTTTTTTTGCGTAAAAAAATATTACATAAAAAAGTTATGTTAGAAAGAAACAATTAAATGTGATTATGCTAATACGCTGTTTTGACATATGGAGTATAAAAGACGTTTGACATGACCCCAGCATTAATATTAGTGCTTTTTTGTGGTGCAAGCTCATCTAACTTTAAGATTTTTAAAATAAAGTTTAACAAGTATTTGTAAAAAATAAACGAAGCTATTTTTAAACACATAGCATAGCATCATGCCATGGCAAGATACTATGCTATGTCTTTAGAAATAAAACTATAATTTTGCCATAATTAAACCATAAATAGTTAAAACCATATTTTGATGTGGCGCCATAGCAAAATAAGGTTTTAATAAGTATTAAACCATTATTTTCAATTTTTGTCACACAAGGCAAATGAAATTTTCTCTACCATACAGACCAAAGGTTTTTCCCTTTCATTCTAGTCAAAAAATACCATTCTGTCATAGGAAATAAAATTATCTTTTCTTTCAAAATGCTTTTTCAGTCATGCTGGTCAAAAATATCGTTCCTTTCAAATATATGAAAATTATCTTGTTTATTATACATGTCATTAAGCAAAGTTATTTAAATTTTTTGAGTCAGAAAATAATTACTCGGAATCCGAAAGCAATTTACTGTTTTTAATTTACTATGTGAAGTATTTTTATGTCGCATTACATAAAGTTATTATTTGGAGAATAATAATATATATATTTATAGTTTACGGCGAGTACAAAAAAATAGATTTATTATGATTAAGATGGCTATCATAAATAATTACTCCTACAGGACCATATACACGGGTTTCGAAGTGGGGGGGTACAATCGTCTATTTCTAAAAAAATTTCTCTATGTCTAGAAATTTCTAAAATAAAAAGGTCCTTTAGAAAAAAAGTGGGGGTCTCTTGGCCACCCTGCCTTCCTCCTCCTTCTCCGATGTCGTCAACCCTATTCTAAACGCAGGTCAAAATTGGAGCAAATATACCAAAAAAAAAGAAAAAAAACTTAAAAGAAACAAATTACAAATATATTTAATTTCTCACAAAAGTAAAAATGATTAAAAGTGTTTTATAAAAATATATAAAAAATTATTGAAAATTGAAATAAAGTTTTTTATTGACTTTATATTTTTGTAAACCTTAATTCACACAGTTGTAGAAATTGAAAAAAAACAAACTGAAAAAAGCATTTTTTTAAAATTAGATTATAATTTAAATATAATCTATTAAATAACCTAAATAACCACAAATAGTCTATTTATAATAAAATAGAATATTTGTGGTTATTTAGGTGTTCCAAGATGTCATTATGGTCTTATCACAGAGCACTGCGGAAGAACATTTAACAAGGAAGTTGACGCCTCCTTCTTATCCATGTCTCTTATTGGGCTAGAGCCTTAGTATCTGATTTTTTTAACTTCTTTTAAAATTTAACAATTTATTTCTTGTTATTTAACACTTTCTTTAATTATAAAACTGTAAACGCATCTTTATACAGGAATTTTTTAAATTATTGTTAGTGTTTTTAAATCTAATTTTTTTTTTCGACTAATATAACAGCTTGAAAGCTTGTTGAAGCCATCTTGTACAAAATAAATTCTATACTTAACTATTACTTTAACTTGTTTACATATTCTACATTCTACATACAGCCTTTTTACATATTATACATTCTACATACAGCCTTTTTACGTATTCTACATTCTAAGTACAGCTTTTTTACATATTCTACATTCTACATGCAGCCTTTTTACATATTCTACATTCTACATACAGTCTTTTTACATATTCTACATTCTACATACAGCCTTTTTACATATTCTACATTCTACATACAGCCTTTTTACGTATTCTACATTCTACATACAGTCTTTTTACATATTCTACATTCTACATACAGCCTTTTTACATATTATACATTCTACATACAGCCTTTTTACGTATTCTACATTCTACATACAGTCTTTTTACATATTCTACATTCTACATACAGCCTTTTTACATATTATACATTCTACATACAGCCTTTTTACGTATTCTACATTCTAAGTACAGCTTTTTTACATATTCTACATTCTACATACAGCCTTTTTACGTATTCTACATTCTAAGTACAGCTTTTTTACATATTCTACATTCTACATACAGCCTTTTTACATATTCTACATTCTACATACAGCCTTTTTACGTATTCTACATTCTACATACAGCCTTTTTACATATTATACATTCTACATACAGCCTTTTTACATATTCTACATTCTAAGTACAGCTTTTTTACATATTCTACATTCTACATACAGCCTTTTTACATATTCTACATTCTACATAAAGCCTTTTTACATATTATACATTCTACACGTATAAGTATATACATATAGCAGCACAGCAAATCTTTCAATTTAATGGAAAACAATTATGATATCTTCCTTTGAGAAACAATTGGAAATTGATTGTTAGTGAGATCTTCAAAATTTCCCTAAGTTTTCCAGAAAAGTTTTTTCCTTTTTCCCGAAAAAAATAAAACTTGATCGCAACCTGTTATTGCATGAAATAGAGGTAAACATTTTTGTTTTGGACCAAAACATTTTACAAGATCGTGCACTGAAATGAATCGTTGGTTTTCGCCAGTACCGAACCATATTTATATTTCTTCTAAATGGAGCTTATGAAAAAGTTTTAAACCTAAAATTAGAAAACTATGATCATGTTATTAAAAAAAAATTATTTTTATTACATCAAATATTTTTTGAATTAAAAATAATCTAAAGTACAAATAAAAAGTTTTACCAATGACAATAACATCAGTATCTACAGTTCTAATCATGGCTTTTTTTAGTCCACTATTTATAGCAGCGTCATATATGTGAAGAAATATACGAGTGTCCGCTTCTTTTTTTTTTCTTTTTTTTTATTGTTATTTAGGTGCACCAAGAAGATCTAACGGTCTTGTCACAGAACACCGCGGATGTGCATTTAACCAGAAAGTTCACGCCTCCTTCCTTACCGTGACGCGAAAATATGTCCAAGGCTTGTTTCGAACCTGGATCTCCTGCTTATAACCACTGCGCCACAGCCGCACACGTTCTTCATGTTTGCAAGGCTCAAGAATGGATTTGTTGGTATTTTGGTTAGATATCACTGAGTCCTCGTGGGTCACAACTATCAATCTATCTGTTTGAAGACAAGATACTTGGACTGAAAAGAACTTAAA